CACAGCAGCTGGTGAGCTTGAACCGCCTATCTTGCGGTTCAAACCGACTTTGCAGTCCAGCGCATTAACCCACAGCGCCACCCCAGGATACGGAAGAAAACAAAAACTGCACTGATGGGAAGCGCTGTAAAAGTCACTTTGCGTCGCCACTGCTTGATTCTCTCCCTTGCAGGAGTCTAGTTCACTGAAGCACCTCTCAGCCGGCAAGACTTCACACTCTGCTAGGCCCGAAGCCCACTAGTCCGGCGTTCCTGTCGGGAAAGTAGTGGCTCCAGTTCTGTCTGCAGATAATCTCCCCTCACTACAATATGCGGAAACTAGCATGCACCTCCCAAGTGTGCGCTACAAGCCAGGCCCTAGGGTCTAAAACACCCAAGACCCAAGAGTCCGGGTCCACGCACACGCGAGACGCCGAGTGGTGGCCGACTCGCGGGGAACGCACGCCGTCTTCCCTCCCCGTCCTCTCGGGCTCCAAACGCTCGCGCTGCAGGGACCACGACTTTTAGTTCTCCGAGGCCTTACCTGGAACCTGGAACCTGTCTGTAACTCAGCCGCTGCTTTCCACATGACTTGCCTCTGGGCAAGGGTAAGTCTTCCCAAGAAGAACCGGTAGGGAATTGCAATACCGCAAAACCCACAGGGAGCCGCCATGTTGCCTGAGAGAGACACCGATCTGGGCGGGGCAAAGGGCGGAACCTGAGAACTACGCAGGCGCCGATTCTCCGCTGGTTTCTTAGGCTGTCGGAAGGAAAAGCGGAGGCCTCTGGCACGTTTTAAATAGGGGGCGTGGTTGCGTCTCAAGGCAGCTCGTCGCTGATTGGGTGCAGGGAGGGCCCTTGGAAGTGTCCGACTCCGCCCTCCAGCTGGATGAAGCCACACCTGTTACTAGGTGGAAAGTACTGTTGTTAGTTGCCATAGAGTAGGTGCCCAATCATAGAGACCTTATGCACAGCTGAAGGAAACAATGCCCGATCCTGGGCCAACCTCACTACTGTTGCCATCAATGCTGCCACTTTGCCAATCCATTTCGGTG